TCAGCCCTGTTCAGACTGTCCTGCTGTCTGAAACTTTTGTCTGGGTGGGTGAATACACCCCGTAGAAGCTGCATAGGAAAGAGGCAAGTGAAGAGCAAACCTAGAACAGATGCTATTTAAAAAAGCATAACTTCTGTCCAGCTGAGTCCTCTTACAGGGTCTGTTCCCTGAACAGGTGGAAAGGGTTGAATTGCAGGTAGGCTGACCAGACAGCAAGTGTCAAAAATCGGGACAGGAGGTGGGGGGTAATAGGTGCCTATGTGAGAAAAAGACCCAAAAATCAGGACTGTCCCTAAAAAATCGGGACATCTGGTCACCCCAATTGCAGGTGATGCATACAGAGTTCCAGTTAGTCAAATATTTGTCACTAAGCTCTAAGTGCAAGCACTGAGGTAATACTATTTCAGAGGTACTTTAATATTGCATGAAACTAACCCAGTGGCATCAGAAATGCGGCGGCTGATGCCGGGGTTCCTGGGTTGGGGGCGGGGGGAGAGAGAACACCATGAAAACAGCAATAGAAATGTTCGAGATCACTACTGGGTCACATTTGTCCTAAGATGTAGGCTCATAGCAACGTTTCCACAAAAGCGTTTTTCAATTCCAAAGGGAAGTTGCTTTAACAAATTAATGTTCCCGGCACTGTTTTCAATATGACTTATTTATAATCTCATCTATGAGACTTGTCTGTAGTATTCAAGTGCCCTGCAAACAGTAAGTTTAGCCTTAACACCCCTTCTCCCCCATCCAGAGTCGTTAGCCCCATTCTAAAGGTGAGGGAATTTAGGTATGGTGAGGTGGTGGCTTACCAGAGATCACACAGTCAGAAACAAACCCCCTGTTTCATGGGTCCCAGTTCTGTGCCATAGCTACAAGACAAATCTTCCTCTTGTAATGCCGACATCACAGCTGTTTGCTGACACATGAGACTCTGAAAGTGAAATGGGCAGGTCTGATATCCTGTTCATCTCAGCTTGGACAATGAAAATAAGTAATACCTTTAAAGCTGTCAGTTTTTAATAAGAGGTGTTTGTGATGTAGGAAAGGAGCCTTTGGATTTATCTGCCAGCGTCCTTTTCATTCTTTCCATCAGTAGAAGTGCAGCTCAGTTCACCACTGGGGGTCTCCCTTGACTTAAATATAAAAAGAACAGGAGGACGTGTGGCACCTTAGAGACTAACAAATTTATTAGAGCATAAGCTTTCATGAGCTACAGCCCACTTCATCAGATGTTAGTCTCTAAGGTGCCACAAGTCCTCCTGTTCTTTTCGTGGATACAGACTAACACGGCTGCTACTCTGAAAGCTGACTTAAATATGGTTCACTTTTAATGCCATTGTAGCTATGTGCTGTGCTTAGTGTAGTCATTCTCAGGTCGGGCTCAGGGCTGCTTTTTCCCACAAGCAGAATCTGTGCAATGTTAACCCATTGTGTACACTTGCAGGGTAATCTTTGTTGCAATTGACAACTGCCTCCTGAAAATTTGTCCAGTATTAAATGCTGCTTAAACTCCTGTTTCAACTTCAGGGTTCTTTTGTTTAAATGGATGCTAAGAAAGCATAGCAGCTGGGGAAAAACTATTTTAGGGTCAGTCGGGCAAAACGGCATGAGTGTGATTCCTGTAATGTAAATGCAGCTCCGTGTGGGATGCCGTAGGCTGAAGGTGCCCGTTTAAAATCCTGGTCTTCCTTTAGGGTTTGTCTAGACACAGAAGTTGTACTGGTTTACTGTAAGTCTGTTTAAAAACTGGTTTAGTTAAACAGCTGCCAGCTCCTGTGTGGATGAACTTATATTGATTTAAAACTTGGTTATATTGGTGTAGCTTGTGCCTGTAAATTTACTGGTGCAAGTTAAATGGCTACAGAGCAGGTTTGGATTGATAGGCGTGTCCACACCCTAAGTGGCACCCACTTAATTAAATCAGTTTAACAGAACACCTTTAGTTACAGCAGTGCAGTTTTGTGCATAGCTAAGGGTGATCAGACAGCAAGTGTGAAAAATCAGGACAGGGGGTGGGGAGTAATAGGAGCCTATATAAGAAAAAGACCCAAAATCGTGACTGTCTCTGTAAAATTGGTTTCAGAGTGGCAGCTGTGTTAGTCTGTATCAGCAAAAAAACGAGGAGTCCTTGTGGCAGCTTAGAGACTAACCAATGTATTATGCCCAAATATATGTTAGTCTCTAAGCTGCCACAAGGACTCCTCGTTTTTTTTTGCCTATAAAATCAGAAAATCTGGTCACCCTATGCGTAGCTCAGGCCCCAGACGTTGGTATGGTTTATATTGATATAGCTAAACCGATTGCTCGAGTCCACACTTCTCTGCATGCATCAGTTTAAGTTACTTTGCTTGTGAAGTATCACGTCCACATAGCACAGCAATATTCCAATAGCTCACAGTCTACTGCTGCCCTTCTCCACCCATCAATACGTGCAGAAGTAACCCCCATAATGGCTGCTCTCATCCACTGCAACTTAGCCTGTGGTCATGTAGATTTCTCCAAGGAGCCTGATCATCAGCTTCAGTGGAGCGGACGCCAATTTGTACTAGCTGAAGCTCAGCCCAGGTGTGGGTAGCAGGCGAGAGCCTTACTCCGCGGATTGATAGACAGACAGCTCCTCATTCTGCAGGCCACGCAGCCCTTCTGTTTACATAACTTCCTACCTGTTGGCTTCATGCCATTTGAATCACCTGCTCGCTGAGGCTAGAGATGTGCCAGGCAGGTGGTTTAGCTGCGGCCCGTGGAGTGAGACTTTCACTGCTCTACCCACTGCTGCATTGGTGGATGCTGTTTGTCTCCTTTGCTGACATTTCTCAAAACCGCAGCCAGGGACGTGGGTGTTTCCGAAGATTGCAGGTGAAAATGGTACTAGTTGTAGCATAACTCTGGACGCACTAACTGGTGCTTCTCCCTGAACTCCCCAGCTCAGAGGGCTCTTGGGTTGGCCAGATATATGGCACGTGGGCTCTCCTAATAAGTCTGCCTCTAAGAGAGAGACTGTAGCAGAGTCCGCTTGAAAAATGCCTGAGACAGAAGCAAATCTTGCAAAGAGCAACTTTTCTGCGGGCTGTGCCAAGGCAAATGAAGGCACCAGAGCACAGTGCAGCCCTTTCACGTTCAGCATGTGTTTAGCTTGGCAGGATGCTCTGAGAGCATATTCCTCAAGCAAGTCTCTTCCGGGCTGGCACGATGAGAAGCAGTTTCTTAATTGCTCGCTTCCAGGCATGTGGCATGGAAGAATCTACTACTCACAGCCCTGCTGATGTACCTCAGTCCTGACCTGTAGTTCCCCCTGCTGATGGAATTGCAGTAGGGCTTTTTAGCGATGTTTCCAAAGCAGACTGTGATCATCCCTTCCCCCCCCAACTCAGTCACTTAACAGCAGATCCAAAGCCTATCTTTCTAAAGCTGTATGTGGGCAAAACCAGGTCCCATAATTCGCTACCAGCCCCTCTCCCCAGTGCCAGCAATGGGGAGAGCTGCAGTGTAGACAGGATGCAGATACCCTATTATCATGCTGTTGAATCTTGAGTAGAGCATGTATAGACCGCACAGGTTTAACCCCCCCTGCAGCCTCTCCACCACCGCTGCTACATCTGGCGGCCTAGGTTAAAGGTGCGACTGCTGCCAGTAGATATGCGGGGTTATGGTTCCCACCTACGCTGTCCCACTGAGTCTCCTTAGCCAGGCTTGTGAAGGGCAATGGAAAATTCCTTCACAGTAAGAACGGCCCTCTTTGACTGGTATGGCTTCGGTACGGGGCAAGCGGTCTGTGAAATCCAGCTGTCCCTGCTCAACCAGAAAATTGTTTTGTGGCCACTAGAGGGAGGAAGGTGCACGCCCCAAAACCAGGCTATGCAGAGCGTGTGGTGACAAGGATGGCAGAAGGCAGAGCTATTCCGGTTGCCTCCTGCTGCTCCGCTTTGTTGGGTCCGTTAGCTCAGTAACAGCTCTCCAGCAGGGCACACCAGGCCACCTTCCGCTCTCAGTGCTCTCTGACATGAGCTGCCTTTCCACCTCTAAGCCCAACGGTGAAAGCATTTGCGTCCCCGAAGGGGGGCTGCAAATCCAATTTAGATGTGGGTGCTTTTGTGCTAATTTGATTCATGTTACTTGGCCTCCTTATCGCTTGCCTACAGGAGAAAGTTGCACCAGTTTAACTCAAGGTGTGAATTTAAAATTTAGTTAAACTTGTGCAACAGGCTATATATAGAATCATAGAATTGTAGAATATCAGGGTTGGAAGGGACCTCAGGAGGTCATCTAGTCCAACCCCCTGCTCAAAGCAGGACCAGTCCCCAACTAAATCATCCCAGCCAGGGCTTTGTCAAGCCTGACCTTAAAAACCTCAAAGGAAGGAGATTCCATCACCTCCCTAGGTAACGCATTCCAATGCTCTTACTTCAGTTTAAGCCAGGTTTATTGTGGTCTAACTTAAAGTGATTAGGAACAGGTTTAAGGTAAGCTAAAATTACTCACTCGTAAACCAAAATAAGAGTGTCCACGCAGGAGTCTGCACCAGTTTAACTTAAATTGGTTTAAAAACAGATTTAGGTTAAACTGATGCAACTTATATGTGTAGACAAGGGCTTAGTTCCCACTTTGTAGGGGAAAAGGTTTAACTTTCAAGGGACGTAGAAGTACAGTCTTGGAGAACACGCTGCTGTCAAGGATGGATACCGTGTGTGTATGTGTAGACATCAACCTAGAGTATACCTTATTGACCTCCATTTTCCTGGGGCAAAATCTGTTTGTCCCTTTCCCCACAGTCCTAGCCAGCAGCCCCAGAGGTGTCCCGGAGGTTGCCCTGGGGGCCTGAGCTGTTTGGTTAGCATGGCTGCAGCAGAGCTGTTTGGAGCAATGAACAAGGAGGTGTATGCGACACCCTTCAAAGCAGTCATTCTGCAGCCGTATGCGAGAGAAGGAGATGTAGCCCCCTCCAACTTACAGCGCACTTGTCAAACGCTCTCCCTCCACCAACCAGAGACTGAGTCGCTCACCTGGATTATAGGGCTTGCAGGGCTGAATACACCTTTGCTCGCTGGTTGTTACCAGCTAAACCTGAGTTGGGCTGATGGAGGTTGATGTCCACTGGTCAGAGAGGCCTGGTGTTCTGGTCTGGGCATGCACCGCTTCCCTTAGTGGAGCCTGCAGGAGAAACAGGAAGATTCTGATGCACTGTGGCTGGCCTCCCGAGGTAATTTATGGAGCTGGGGTTAAAAATAGCCCCTCTTCCCTGCTGTGGAATTACCCAGCTGCTTCCAGGCCTTAGCTGTGCTGGGGCCTGGTCTACGCTTAACTTCTCTCGATATAGCTATGTTGGTTGGGGATGTGACACTTTGTTTTTTCCCAACAGAGCTAGATCTGTGTAAGCCCTAATGCAGACGCACTCTTACACTGGCATAAAAGCACTTTTGCTGGTGTAGTTTATGTCTCTTGGGGAACTGGTTTAAACTGTGCTGGCAGAAACACTTTTTTGCCGCTATAAGCTGCGTCTACACTAGGAGGGTTTGCTGATATAGCTATGCTGGTATAGCTGTGCCAGCAAATCTTTTCTAGTGTAGACAAGGCTGGGAGTTTAATAGTGTAAACTAATGAGGTAGGAAGGACACACACGTTTATTCATTGTTTGACCCAATAGCGGACCCGAGGGCTAACCCTGGCTAGGTACAAACATTTAGATCCCATCTACAGCAGAGTTCCTTTGTTTTCAAGAAACCAAACACTGGGCTGGATCCTCAGCTAGTGTAAATGGCATCGTTCTGTGGACTTTGGCATCCAGTTCAGATAAGCCAGCATGAGTTAGTGTGTGGCCAAAGCTGCAGTTCCTGAGGAGGACCGACACTCCTGGAGCAGCTCAGTAGGAAGGAAATAGGGATGGGCCTCTGGCTCCTGTATTTTTGGAGGGACAGGATGAGTGTGTAGGGTCTGCGAAGATGGAATTGCATTGTCCTAACTTCACCTTGTGCCTGCGGGTTGGTGAGAGAGCAGCGCTGTGACAGGACTTGGAGGCTGGAAGTGTCTCCTAAGACTGCTGCTAGTGGAGAGGAGAGGGGGCGCGTACAGACACCCTGTACTCGTCCCGGGATGTTCAGGAGCCGCTGCAGCTATGCGAGGGTTACCCGGAGTCCGAGGCGGAGTTCAGCCACTCGTGGGCTCCCAGAGTAGCCTTTTCAGAAATGTGTCACCCTTTCCGTATTGGTCGCCTCCTTCGCAGTGTGGAATCTCCTGCACTAAGGAGAAGCCAGGCTGCATCCCCGCAGGCTTTGCGCCAGCTCAGAGCATGCATTGGCCCTGGGCAGGCAGGGCAGCGCTCCCGGAAGTACTCCATGTTGTTTGACCCACTGAACTGGGCTCACTGCCCCTAGGGAGGAGGAATGGAGGGAAAGGAGCCACAGCCCTGGCCTTAGCCCTCACCGCAGGTTCCTTTCGCTCTGTAAATAATTAACACAGCCCATCACCTGGTAGGCAAGTAGAGCGCTGCACAAGCCTCTGCTCTTAAAACTTGACCCCATCATGCCAAAGTCTTGCGAGGGTGGAGATATTAGTACTTGTATCTTATGGGCTTTGTCATCTAAGACTCCCCAAGTGCGGTGTAGTGATGAGATAATTATCAGTAGCCATATTTTACAGATGGGGAAACTGAGGGCACAGAGACAGTGACTTGCCAAAGATGAGATTTCACCCAGAAATCCTGACTCTTAGTCCCATGCTCTCGCCACCTGTAAAACCAAGCTAACCCCCAATTTGTTAGCAAGTCAGGCTGAATTCATGAATGGCGGGGAGCGTGCTTAGCAGCGTGGGTAGACACAAACACCTGCTAGCTCCGCTCAAGCTAGTGCACTAAAAATAGCAGTGTGGCTGCAGCAGCTTGGGCTAGCTGCCCAAATACATACCCAAGGGGCTGGGGCCGGTTTGTGCTGGGGTGGCTAGCCCGTGCTGTTGCAGCCACGCTGCTATCGTTAGCGTGCTAGCCTGTCTGCCCCTGCTGGGAAGCACCCACCCCGCTGCACTGTGCATGGGATGCAAATGAATATGTAAATCACGGATCCTGTGCCTGGCACGGACCTGAGCACACAGTCAGCACATAGGCTTTAAGGCACTGCCCCTGCTGCTGTTGCAAACAGAGTTTGGGACCTGTATTTAAAGCCTTTCAGTGGTGGTCCTGCCGCAGTGGTTCTAACGGGGCTTGGCTAACCGGTGAGAACCTGTGCACCCATGTTAAACTAGTTTTGAAAACTACTTATAGCCTGGGAAAGAACACGGCTTGGTTTTAGCTATACCAAGGGCTAGTCTACACTCCACTGCTTCTGCAGATAACGCTATGCTGGTATATCTGTACCGACAGAGGCCCCTAGTGCAGACCCAGCATCTGCTGACAGGAGGAGTTTTTCTCTTGGTGGTGTAACATCGCCTAGTGATGACACTAGCTATGCTACTAGAAGCACGTGTGCGCGAGACACCCCAGACTGACATAGCTGTGATGCAAAACTTCGTAGTGTGGATCTCCCAGATACACACGCTTCTCTCTGGCGCTCTGTAGCTGGAGCTTAAACACCCTTCCTTTCCAGAGGAAACCTGGCCCTTGATTCAGTTTTAGTGAAACTAAAGGTTCGTAAAGTCTAGACCCGATACATTTTTCCCAATGCTTATTTAAAACTTCCTGTGGAGAAAGGTTTCAGAGGAACAGCCGTGTTAGTCTGTATTCGCAAAAAGAAAAGGAGTACTTGTGGCACCTTAGAGACTAACCAATTTATTTGAGCATGAGCTTTCGTGAGCTACAGCTCACTTCATCAGATAGAGTCTTTAACAAACCTTCCCATGCAGCACGTGTGTGACCCACCTCTCCTCTCCCTTTTGCTAGTGCAAAGGAACCTGGAGATGAAACTGCCTAGAAATACCATGGAACTAACCAGCCTGTTTTTATTGGCAAGCCTGAAAGAGAAGCAACAAGCCAACAGCATCCCTAGTGAAACGCTAACTCGAATTTAAAAACTTCCCTTTAAATATCCTACCTCCATGATGCAATCCCCATTGACTGGACAGGCGGCAGAAGCAGGCCCATGGTTAGCACACACTGTTTTAAAAGATACCCTGTAGGATTGCATCAGTGCTGAGAAATGCGTATATATTTCCTGATGTCTATGTACCCAGAACATCATCTTGATATGGAGCTGGAAATCATCAAGCCCTGTTTACGCAAGCACTTCACCCTTTGCTGGAGAACAGGTGCTAAACATACTAGACCAGTAGTTCCCAAACTTTAAAAACCTGTGAACCCCTTTCACTAAAATGTCAAGTCTCGTGAACCCCTTCTTAAAAATGAATATTTCCAGGGATTCTCTCCTTTACCTGAGTATAAATTATTAAAAGCCGTGATCTTGGAAATATAAAATTTGTTTTTATGACATGCTCATTACACACTATGTATTATTAATTATTATTTATCATTACAGTATTTTTATTACATTATGCAAACGGCAACACTCTTCCCAGATCTCACTTCGTAGCTTGTATCACTTTGAATAAGCCTGTTATAAGAGAAGGCTCCTAGGTTTCATCAAGGAGTATCAGCTGTGAAACAGCAGGAAGGGATTTAAGAAGCCAACTCAAAGAGTTCCTCCTACACACGCATTCAGGTCTTGAGCAGTCCAGGCAAACAACGCACGCTACAACAAAGCTTAAACTTGTTCTTCGTAATAATTTTAAAAACAATACTAGCTGCCTATTTAATTTTAAAAACAGCAAAAAATATCCACCTCCCTTTTTATTTCTTATAGGGAGTCTTGAAGTTTAAATCTTCTCAGTGTGATAGATAGGCTTGCTTTGATCTGCTTCGGTCCTGGAAATCCAGGGGCTCCGGGCTGCTGGCCCCGTGCTGCCTGGGGTCCCTAGGCACAGCTCTGTCCGCTGTTAGGGATTTTTTCCCCGAGAACCCTCTGTAACATTTCGGTAACCCCCAGGGGTTCACAAACCCCAGTTTGAGAACCACTGTGCTAGAGGCAATCATATTTACCATAGCAGTAACTCCAGCTTTGCCTTTAGCAGTTCCTGGCACGTCGGGGTATGTAAAGGCTTTTCCGGGATCAGAGCTTAAAAGTTTTGTTGAGTTTAAAAGAAGTCCTATCCTTTTCCCCAGCTGATCCTGTGGTTCTGCACCCTGGTCGGGTTGTTTACTCACCCACAGTAATTTATTTATGTGCCTGTTAAATATAAACTTCGACAGTAACATCTGCACAACATGGTAAGGTGAAGTTGTGGAATATGCCCTGTTTCAACAGATCTAGACATAAAAGGGTGTCCTTCTGGACTGAAAGGGAAACATTTTAATAAACACAGTGCAATGCAAAATGGATCCTTTTGGATTATAGTCACTTTTCTAATTTGGATTTTAGGAGTCACGTATCATAGAAGCTAAATGCAGGGGCTGCTTTCCTTCCAGGCATCTGGATTTCATATTCTCTGCTTTTAGCAAGTTTCATGCTTAAATGTAAAACTGTCCTAGATCCTTAATTCATTATAGCAGAGTTATCTCATTTGGTACTGGCCGGTGTGGGTGCTAGAGTCTTACCAGCCAAATAGCACATGCTGTTTTCCAAAGAGCTGCAGAGATGAAGATCACTGTATAAATAATGATTATTGTGTTGATAGAATCCAGTGTGAAACGGAGACAGGATTTATTTCATGCTTTCTATCAACGCTAAACCTAACATAAGGGTTAGTCTTCTCGCTGCTCTACCAGTATCCTTCTCTGATATGATCTAAACAAATAGAATACAAGATGGATGATATGAGACATCCCCCCCCTTTTTTTGAGAGAGAGAGCGAGCGAGCTCTGGCCTCACGCTTTCTGTGCTCTTGTGTGCACTAGAAAAGTTGCATCAGGTTAACCAAATAGATTTTAAAATCCATTTTAACTTGTACAAACTCCTAACGCACATGCCTTTAAATGTTAAACCCTCATTTAAATCTGTCTAGATTGCAACTCAATTAAATTAAAATCAGTGTAATTAAACTGGTGCAACCCTTACCTAGACAAGGCCACAGAGAGCTAGTGTAACTGGTTTTCTCCTTAAACTGATTTTAGACTGATCTAGCTAAACCTGTGACAGCATCTAATACCGGTGCTCTTAAATCAGGTTAACCTTTGCTTAAATTAGTGTAGCTTAATTAGGTAAATCAGATGCAGTATTGCCAACTCTCGGTGTTCAAAACCCATGATTCAGACCCTAAAAACCATGAGGCTGGCTTAAAAATCATGCAATTTTATAAAAATATAATATATTTGGGGTTCTTTTTATTTCCCTTCTGGCTTCTGAGACTTTAGGGGGCATTTGAGTCAGATGTTCAGGCTTTTCTCTGAAAACTTCAGGGCTAGAGATTTCCTACTTTTAAAGTGGAAGCTGAAATTCTCAACTAATCACATGACTCTGGGAGCTGGGGTTTCGAGGAAAGCACTAAATATTGTGAGAAACCTGCTCTAGCTCAGAGCAGTTACTTTCGGGAAGCTTTCTGGTCTATGTTATGTAGGAGATCGTACTAAATTATATGAATCAAGACTCTCCATAAAATCTGTTGGCAAGGCAACAGATGCAAAGTAGATTGACAAGTAAGGGTAAACCTGGTTTAAGTGCATGTACTATAAAGGTTTGCACAGCTTTAACTAAATCAGTTTGAAATGTTTGTGACTCCTAATGTCTCTTGTTTTAAATCACACTGAAGTAAAGTCTCTGATCAGCTGGACTGTGGCACAAATAGCATTGTGAGTCACTGGGATTAGGTTTTGGGGGTGGGGACGGGGTTCTATTGTACAAGAACACAGGGAGGGAATTTGATGTTTATTTCCAAACATTCAAAGTGACAACAAATTCCAAAGGGGCCTGTAATAGCTATAACCTTGAATTATCCAGATGCTGAGCCCACCTCTGTCCCACTTCCCCTTTTGTGTGTTTTGATTCATCCTCCAAGGCTCCCCACTGAGGACAGCCGTGGCTGAATGAAGCAATTGAGAGGTAGAAAAAAAAAGAGAGCATTTAACATCTTCTGGCTTTGAAGTTGAGTTTAATCCTGTTAAAAGCCTGGTGCCTGAATAGCAGGCTCTGATATGCGTCTGGCAAGCTCTCCCTGAAGTCAAAAGCAGTGTAACAAATGCCAGGATTTCCCTGTGTGTGTACGTGTGAGAGAGAGAGAGACACTCACACAGAGTAGTGAAAGCAGCCTTTGCACAATGCATCAAAAATGAGCACTTCCCAGCATGAGTTTCACATCATGGGGTTTGGCCAGGCCAGATTTATTTCAGCAGCGGCTCCCGGTTGTGTAACTGATTGACTTGCGTGTGCAGTGTCGGAAAGTCTTGTTTTTAAAAGCTCCAAGGATGATACTTTGCTGTAAATGTATCTGCCTGTTAATATGCTCCTTATTTAACATGCATGTTGCAGTTGTGCCTAGAGACCACCTAACTCGATCAGAACTGCCGGGGCAGAATGTTGCCACCTCTGGACCGTTTGGGAGCTGTGTCAGTAAGGAATGAGGCAGGGATTGCTTTCCAGGGATGATGGGGCAGGGAGCGAATGGGGAATTGCCCTATAGATGATGAATGGGCCTGATCGTTCAGAACATTCTGTACATCGGCGATGCCCATTAAAATCAATGGGGGGTGCCAGAGTTTGGCCCCTGTGGCTGGCTGCACGGTGTGCCAGGCTTGCAGCCAAGGGCCGGGCTGGTTTAGTGCCATCAGCCCACAGTCACATCTATGCTGGGGTCTTAACACACACTTCCCTTCTGCCCAGGGGAGCAGTCTGTGGGGGGAGGGAGTTGTGCTCCAGCAGCCTGTGGCTTACCTGGAAGACAGGTATCCCCCAAGGCAACCCTGCCCTTCCCCCCAGGCCCTGGTCTCTTGTAGGATACTTGTGACCCACAGATGTCTGAACATACAAGCACAACTGGGCATGTAGGCTGGCCCGTTCCCGCCTGGCCAGTGCCCTTTGCACTGACGCACACAGTGGTGGAGCTCAGCCCCTGTGAGGCTACTCTGGGGAGAATCCCTTTTCATAGAATCATAGAATCCTAGAATATCAGGGTTGGAAGGGACCCCAGAAGGTCATCTAGTCCAACCCCCTGCTCGAAGCAGTATTCTTGTCAGCAAGTTAAGGAAGTATGGGCTGGATGAATGCACTATAAGGTGGGTAGAAAGCTGGCTAGATTGTCGGGCTCAACGGGTAGTGATCAATGGCTCCATGTCTAGTTGGCAGCTGGTGTCAAGTGGAGTGCCCCAAGGGTCGGTCCTGGGGCCGGTTTTGTTCAATATCTTCATAAATGATCTGGAGGATGGTGTGGATTGCACTCTCAGCAAATTTGTGGATGATACTAAACTGGGAGGAGTGGTAGATACGCTGGAGGGGAGGGATAGGATACAGAAGGACCTAGACAAATTGGAGGATTGGGCCAAAAGAAATCTGATGAGGTTCAATAAGGATAAGTGCAGGGTCCTGCACTTAGGACGGAAGAACCCAATGCACCACTACAGACTAGGGACCGAATGGCTAGGCAGCAGTTCTGCGGAAAAGGACCTAGGGGTGACAGTGGATGAGAAGCTGGATATGAGTCAGCAGTGTGCCCTTGTTGCCAAGAAGGCCAATAGCATTTTGGGATGTATAAGCAGGGGCATAGCCAGCAGATCGAGGGACATGATCGTCCCCCTCTATTCGACATTGGTGAGGCCTCATCTGGAGTACTGTGTCCAGTTTTGGGCCCCACACTACAAGAAGGATGTGGAGAAATTGGAGAGAGTCCAGCGAAGGGCAACAAAAATGATTAGGGGTCTAGAACACATGAGTTATGAGGAGAGGCTGAGGGAGCTGGGATTGTTTAGTCTGCAGAAGAGAAGAATGAAGGGGGATTTGGACTCGATGACCTTCTGGGGTCCCTTTTGCCCAAGACAGGGGCTGGCATTAAGGTGATATGCACCTAGTGCAGAGCTGAGCCTCGTCGCCTTATCACGAGCCACTCTCCTTCCTCTATCTTCCCCTCCCTGCCTCGTGTTGTGTATCCCACCTGGTCTGCACGCCTCCGGGCAGGACCTGTCTGTGCCCTCCCTCCTCCAGGGAGGACTATACACATCTAGGGGGCTACGTACTAAGAGATGCCAAGGCCCCAAGTCCTCCCCATGGGAGGCAGGTATAGCTCGCCTGGCTTCCAGACAGCTCTGCTGGAGTTTGGCTGCAGATCATCGTGCAGGGCTAAAAACATAGTTGTTAATAATCCACTAATTGAGACCAATGGCCCCTCCTCCTAGGTGGAGATGCTGCTGGAGCCCAATAGGGAATTTCCGGCTGGGCTGGAGCAGGTGGAGGGCCTGTTAGCTTATAGAGCTGGCTGGCTCCCACATGTTCAGTTCTGTGTGCAGTTCAAGGTAATTGGTCCAACTGGTTTAGGGCCAGGCTCCCTGAGACCTTCCCCGGCTCTGTGTGACCCCTGCAGGAAGCTGCAGTCAGCTGGGGCACTCGGGGTAGAGGGGCTCCTGGGGCGGCAGAGAAGGGAGATTGCATGGCATGTTGGGCCTGACATCCTCCTGCAGCAGGGCAATGAGACAGCCCCTGCCTGAGGCCCGCCGTTGTGCCCTACAAGGGCCCCGCAGCCCTCAGGAGCACAGTGTTCTCCGCGGCTCTGCAGCTGCCTGTGTACCGCACACCCTGATGATGCTCTGAGTTCAAATTGCGGGGTGGGGAGCCCCGAGCGGAGCCTTTGTTCACACTCTGCCTGGGACTGTGCTGACAGCAGCGGCTGCTGGCGTTAGGGGTTCATATGGGCTGGTGGCATCATTAAGGCAAATCTCCCCTCCCAAGAGGCAGGAGGTGGGTTCTGTGTCTAGCTCAGCCAGTGGCAAACTCTGGTTTGTGACTCTCTGCATCCTCCAGCTCCACGAGCTAACGGCAAAGATCCCCCCGAGGTGAATGTGGGCAGGGCCAGCAGGGGGCGGTGGCCCCTATCCCATACTTTTGGGGTCTTCATGTCTGTCCAATCATGGGTGCAAGATTACCCCTCCCTTTAACCCTGTTGGCCCTGGAGAACACCGGAGTTCATGATCCTTCCTCCCCCGCCTAGAGCTCAGAGACTACCCTGCCTTCTGGGCCGAGGAGGAGGTCCATGGTGAACGTACATGATCTGGTGCAAGGATGCAGGGAGCTGAAGGAAGCTGGGAGGGGCGGTGTGTGTGATGGTGATCCCGCCTGGAGCGCTGTGGCCGTGGGGGCTGGCAGGACTGAGTTGCTGCCCTTTCTCCTCACTTCTTCTGAGTTTCTGTCGTCACTTCCCCTTATGTCCCTAACCTCCAAGCCGGGACAGATCATCTTCCCTGTGCAGTGCCAGGGCCGTCCCGGGCATCACATGGGTGATAGCCAAACACCGCTTAGCTGGATGTTGCGCGGCCCGAGGCAGCCTGTCCATTCCAGCCCCACTGGTCGGTGTAACTCTGCTGAGTGTGTCAGAGTCCTGGTCAGGCCATGGATTCGGGTTATTGACTTGAGAAACACTATTGCGGTGCCTCTTTCGGGAAGGGGCCTGTTCATGGTGTTCCCAAGAGGCACTGATGCTCCCCCGACTTTCATCACTTTTTTCTTTCCTCCCTCAGCCAGCTCTGTTTCACAACATCCTCTGGGTTTCCCTTTCTGCATAACTTCTGTCTGCCTCTCGTTCACCTCAATGCCCAGTGGTCTGTGTGGGTTTCATTTATTGGACCAAGGGTATTTCTTGCAGGGCTGCGGAGCCATGGGAGTATTTGGAAATAGAATGGAGGGAGGGCGGATGGAGTATCGTCCCAGCTGGAGAGTAGGACTCCTGGGTTCTTTTTCCAGCTCTGCCATTGACTTGCTCCTTGGCCAGGCTGTCTGCCTCAGCCCCACATTTCACACAAATGGGAGTTATGCCAAGCCTAGGGGTGCTGAGAAGGTGGATGTTTGTGAAGCTCTTTGAGATCTTTGTGCACAACACACAACCTACAAGTTGCATGCACTCAGAAACATTAAATATGTTTGGCAGGAAGTCCCCCCCCCCCTCCCATGTCAGCCATAGAGCCATAGGTGTCAAGATCAGAAGGGACGTTCCATTGTCTAGTCTGATGTCCTGTGTGACACAGGCTGTGAGATCCCACCCAGTGGCTCCCGTATCCAACACCTGCCTGGGCTGAGAACAATGGGATGATTGAATGAAAACCCCACCCAGCCTAAGAAGCACCTTGCGCCTCTCAACCCTCCTCAACATCCAGGAAAAATTGGGCTTTGTCCAACCAGGGCTGGTATTGGATTCTAAAGGGGAAGGAGTTGAGAATCCTTCGTGTAAAATGTCCTTTCATCCAAGGATCTGGAGTAAGGGCAAAGTGCCCTCTCTCATCCCCTGCCCCTCCCAGGAGACCCTACCTAATAATAATCTTCCATGGAGATAAATAATTTTCAAGTCCTCCGTTTCTCAATAATACGGCCTCTTCCTCTGGTGAGTGCTACCAGCTCCAAGGGCTTCCTACCTGCCCCTAGGGGCTCTGATGACATAGGACAAGTTCGATGATCTCAGATGTCTCCAGAACTCCAAGGTGGCGGGGCAGGGAGTGTCTAGATAAATATCCAGTGTCCAATATGCAGAGAACCCAGCATCTACTCCAGGGCCACATCTAGAGTAGGGGGGAAAGGGTATGTTAGAAAATGTGTTAGCTAACACCATTTCAGACAGGGCTTTTCCCCTAGTGTCGGTAGAGCCAGTTGTGTTTAAAACACACTCGCTGGTCTTAGTCTACCCTACTCTACCTTTCCTCTGATGCCCAGACCCACTCCGGCTCCATCACCGCCTGTGTGATTTCAAGAGAGACCCTACAATCATTGCTATAACATGTAAAAGGTTTGTACCTTTGTTTGTTGTCTTTCGCTAACAAATGCAGAGGGACATTTCCCAGGTAGCTTCTAAACAGATGTGTTTTTCTTCTTAGCCTTGTGATTGCAGCAAATATTTCGCTTGGCTTTTTGAGCTAGCATGCCATTGAGAAGCAAAGTCAGGAAAGAAACTGAAATACTTCTCTGATGGATTGTATTTATGGAGGGACACCCTATCTTAAATTCCCAATTACTGAGGGACAATCTACACTCACTGCTATATTTGCTTTCCACAAACTATTCTTAGTGTAACTTTTTGTGAGTGATGTATTGGCGTATCTGGATGCTAGTATTTAAACTGGATCATTACATTTATTAACCTTCATTTGAGATATTGCAGATTATGTACTATATGAATTTTATGGCTTTTAAAACCAAGCTTTGTACTTTTGGATAATTCAAGCGTTACAGCCAGATGTATAGAAACTCTTTGTAGACCTGTGTATTAGACAATTTTAACACTAGCTTTAATAAAACATTTTAAATTAGTTCAATGGCTGATACACGCTTTTAGGCCAGACCTTGCCCTTTTAGGGTTCTGGGTTTGCTCTGATGGGGTTTATCTGGGACTAATGGCTATGATCGCAATGTGAGAAACCTGTACAGAAGGCTGTCTTGGCTGTGACTTCCTTTCTGCTCGTCACCGCCTTCTGATTCCATCGGAGCAGTGAAATATTTCCAGCCCGCCAGTGGGATTTTCTGAGTTCTGCTTAAAATCTCTTTCGGGGGAGGGGAGAGAGAGGTGACACCCACAGTCCCTCAACTATTATCTGTGTGTTCTGGGGGGCTCAGAGTCTGAATTACAGGTGTGGGAGATTTCAGAGGAACAGCCGTGTTAGTCTGTATTCGCAAAAAGAAAAGGAGTACTTGTGGCACCTTAGAGACTAACCAATTTATTTGAGCATGAGCTTTCGTGAGCTACAGCTCACTTCATCGGATGCATACCGTGGAAACCTGGCATTTGCCAGTGCTTCTTGTACAGGGTGCCAGTGTACTGCTTCTGTGAAGACGCTTGCTAGGGAGGCAGGTGGGTGCTGTTTCTTCTCAGCCGTTTCACCAGCTAAAGGCCCAGTCCTGCAGTCCCAGCACAAGACCCACTGACTACACTCACCTACAGGCTGCAGGATTTAGCACAGTGGTTCTCAAACTTTCTGTATTGACGACCCTTTTCACACAACAAGCCTCTGAGTGCGACCGCCCCCCGCTGCCCTTATCAATTAAAAACACATTTTTTATATTTAACATTTTTAAATGCTAAATTTATAACCCTATTGTTTAAAATGAATTTACGTTTTCTCATTGCTTTTAAATGAAGATGAAAACATTTTTATCAAATTATTATAATTATAAGCAGAAAAGCTATTTTTAAAATTTTTTTTACAGTTTAACACTGGGAGGGCGCGAAGAAATTTTGTCAATATCCATTTTCACAGCGGACTTAGCGCCCCATCGCCAGCCTCACTTCTGCGCTGCTGCTGGCCGCGGCGCTGCCTTCAGAGCTTGGCAGCCGGAGAGCAGGGCTGCTGGCTGGGTCCCCAGCTCTGAGGGCAGCAGCAGCGCAGAATTGCAGAAGGGAGGGTGGCAATGCCATACCATGCCAGCCTTACTGCTGCATAAGGTTTGACCTTTGCGCTGGGAGAGATGGGCATGGGGGCTAAGGCAAATGTTGAGGTGGCTGTAACCGCCTTAAGCACCCCCACAGCGCCACACCTCCCTGTGTGTCTGGCTGTTACATTATAAATTACCTTTTTTTTGTTGCCGATCTCAGTGTTCTGATTGGTCTGCAGTTTAATGCAACAATCAAGCCCTCTAACGTTGTCTCAGTCCCACCTTTTTAGTCTCAAGACAACAAACCTGCCCCCATGATACTCCGATCCCCAAAGTCCAATTTCCTTAAAGTGTTGCTAATACAAATATATATGTTGTTTAGGAACAGCAATCGCTGCATTGTGTGTTTGCGATACTTATTGAAGTAAATACTCTACATTGTGATAGAAAGGTGTGTGTCATTTTCTAAAACACTAGATTTAAAAGATATATTTTATTGCAGTTGCTCTCTGTTTTGTGGATGTACTCGCGACCCCCAGTTTCAGAGCCCCTGCCCTCTGTTAGCGGCGTGTGTTTCAGACTTGCCTGCGGAGGAAACTGCTCCTGCAGGAGCTCCAAGCTGTCACTTGCTCTCCAGCCCCAGAGCTGGAGCCTTGCCCTGTATAATGCACACGTTGCTGTGGGCAGCTGACCATTCCTTTGGGAGCCATAAGCCCCCGATGCTCCGTGGCAGTAAACCATTACAGCAGTTTTCTCTCTTTCCTCAGGGAGAACTTCTGTTCCCAACCTAGAGGAGGAAATCGACTTCTTAGCTGACGTGCTGGCCAGGCAGGATGCCTCTCGCCTCCATCTGCTCCAGGATGGTGAGTCCAGAAGTCATCTGCCTGCTCTCCTTAACCTGTTCTCCCAGCCGCTTTCATGCAATTGCGCTGCTTTCCGCGTTTAGTGACTCTGAGGCCAACGGTCCCAAAGTTCAGATCAACAACTCAGACTCTCCGCTCAAAGGCTGAAAACCGTGGAAAGTAAATAAACATGAGCCCTCTGAAATGTCCTGCTTATTGAGGGCTCTGTTTTACTGTCCCTGCTGCCGATTTAATAGATTGGTGCTTAAATTCCTGTCCTGAATTACTAGGTTTCCAGGGAAGTGTTTCTAGCATTTCCTGGCTGGGTGAGTTGGGGGGAAAGCAGACCATGGAGTTTTCATTGCTCTGCAAATACCATATTACAGGGCTCCTGGATTCAGCAGAGCCCAGGGCCTGGAGAACACGTGCGCTTCCTCATTTGGAAACAAACTCAAGACTCCCATCCTCTAGGCATGTCAAGGCAGTGCACGCTAGTGGTTAGAGCAGGGGACCAGGGTCTATTCCTGGCTCGACTACAACTCTGTGTGATCTTGAGGAACTCCCTTAACCTCTGTGTACCTCAGTTTCTCGATTTGTAAAAGAGGGATGACCACTCCCGTGAGATTCTAGATGAAAGATGCTCTAGAAGTGCTGCGTGTTTGGTGACCAGAGGAAAGGGACATGGTTTTGGGGAGAGATATTCCCTACCTTGGAAATTTTGAGTTCTCTCTCTCCCTTTTCCATCCCATGAGCTGGGATTTCTTGAAAGATTTCATAGCTTCATTTCCTAATGTAAAAGGCACCCAAATTGCTGATGCCAGGGCAATAAAGTTGCCTTTTATGGCTGTATTTTATAATGGGGAGCACAAGTGCTAGAACGGAGGAGAGCGACTGCTGATTTCACATTTATTCCACAAGTGATTCCCCCACCAGCTACAGGCCCAATCCTGTGGTCGTAGCACAAGACCCATTGGCTGCAGTAGGAGTTAAGGATCTAGCCCCTCTATTAGCAAGGGGTACGTTGCGGACTTTCCGTATGTTCTGGGGTTCTGTATTGCATCCCTGTGAACAGCAAGATGGCGCGTCCTGGTCGGTGCTAAAGCATTAAACACCTGTCAAGGTTCCTTCCCCACTCTGAACTCTAGGGTACAGATGTGGGGACCCGTGTGAAAGACCCCCTAAGCTTATTCTTACCAGCTTAAGTTTAAAAACTTCCCCAAGGTACAAACTGCCTTATTCTTGAACCGTATGCTGCCACCACCAAGTGTTTTAAACAAAGAACAGGGAAAGAGACCACTTGGAGACGTCTTCCCCCAAAATATCCCCCCAAGCCCTACACACCCCCTTTCCTGGGGAGGCTTGAGAATAATATCCTAGCCAGTTGGTTACAAAATCATCAAAGACTCAAACCCCTGGGTCTTGGAACAATGGAAAAATCAGTCAGGTTCTTAAAAGAAGGATTTTATTACAAAAAAAAAAAAAAGGTAAAAATCATCTCTGTAAAATCAGGATGGAAAATACTTTACAGGGTATTTCAGATTCAAAACACAGAGCATCCCTCTAGGCAAAACCTTAAAGTTACAGAAAACAGGAATAAACCTCCCTCTTAACACAGGGAAAATTCACATAAAACAAAAGATAAACTAATCTGCCTTGCCTGGCTTACCTATACTGGTTGCAATGTTGGAGACTTGGATTAGGATGGGTTGGAGAAGATGGGTTTCTGTCTGGCCTCTCTCAGTCCCAAGAGAGAACAACCCCTTAAACAAAGAGCACAAACAAAAACCTGCCCCACTTCCCCCCCCCAAGATTTGAAAGTATCTTGTCCCCTTATTGGTCTTTGGGTCAGGTGCCAGCCAGGTTAGCTGAGCTTCTTAACCCTTTACAGGTCACAGGATGTTGCCTCTGGCCAGGCGGGATTTTATAGCACTGTATACAGAAAGGCGGTTACCCTTCCCTTTATATTTATGACAACACCAATGGGGGTAGCGAATGGTTTTCACCTCTTTGTCCATATCTCCGCTGCCTGCCCCAGAGCTGGGTGCTGCGGGGCCCTGCTGCCTCTGCTGATGCTCGTGGTCTCTGCTTTCTTGCACAGCCACCCCGGCAGGGAAGCATCCTGAAACCACTGGGGCGAGAGGGGAGTCCCCCCAGAGGAACAGAGCGAGCCACAGGGCTGTGACATCTCATCCCACCGCTACCACCAAGACAGTGAAGAGTTCTCCGGTGGAGGTGTTCCATGTCACTTCCAATGACCTCCTGATACTCGGTAAGTGCAGGCTTCCCTTTGGAGTTCAGAGCTAGAGATGGGCCCGATCCAGGCTGTGCGGGGGTGCGGGAGCTGGTTTAGCACCTTGGGGCTTGCCGCTGTGTCTGTGATGGGCCAAGAGGCAGTTTGGCTCTGAAGTGGAGCTTTGCAGCTCAGGCTGGCCTCTCCTGGGAGTTTGTTGCATTTCCCAGTGGGGCGAGACGGAATTCAGTTTGCTTATGAGACTGACAACACTTGCATCCGTGGAGTGACCAGGTTTACTGTCGTACGTACCTGTACGACAACAGGCATTGAAACTGCTGCACTCTGGGTGCCTGTGAGCAATAGTGCCCAGCGGGGTGGGCGTTACAGGACTTGGAGGGGTTAGTTATTGAAAGGGCAGGGAGGGCAAACCATCCCAGCCCGTAACAACCCCTCTGTCTGTTTTGGGCTAGCTTGGTCAGTAGCGGCCAGGTGACGAGCTCTGCGCTGTGTTCCTTCCTCTGCAGGGATGATCGTGGTGTTCTCTGTCGCCGGCATTGTTGCTTTAATCGTGGCTGCGATCTGCTGGTGCAGGTAAGCCAGCAGGGACCTCCTCCAGCAAACGGCTGGGCCGCCACTTGGTGTCCTGCTGAATTTGTGCCTGGACTTCTGTGCAATTGAGAGGGGAAGGATTTTAAAAGAGAGAAGTAGCTCTCCTTGGGCTAGGGACCTCAGGTTGAGTCTTCGCCTGGCATGGTGCAAAACGCATCTCCAGCTGCACCCACAGGAGGCAACTGGGGGAGATAAAATGCCTAAAGCAAGAGAGAGTGGGCCCAGCGTCCTGTCAGATACTCAGTACCAATCGTTGTAAGGCGCAGTGGTGATGGGCGCTCTATAGCCCGGGTGGATGGATGTGAATCACTCGTGAGAAGAGTTTTAGGGCAGAGAGGTGCCACATGCTTGGATAGACTGTCACTTGTGACGGCCAGTTAATATATCCTAGGAGACAGTGTCAGAAGGAGCCTTTCTAGCTGCGATTAACTTATCGTGTTGCAGGAACACTTAGGAACCCCAGGCATGGGCCAGGGCCCCGTTATGGTAGGCGCTGTGCAAACAGCCCCTGTTCCAATGAGCTTACCAGATACATAAGGGTCCAGGGTAACCACCTGAAACCAGGAAGACTCCTGCCCTGCTTTCTGTGAGCAGATCACACACCCTGGCTCAGTCCACACAAATGCTGGGTTGATTGCACGGAGGTGAGTGCTAGACCAGTGTTAAATGGCTTGGTGCTGCAATGAATGGAGTTAACTCATAAAAACATGGGCACTGCTAGACTGGATTCACCCCGTGTCCTCTCTTTGATAGTGGCCAGCACCAGATACTTCAGGGGAAAGAGCAAGAGAAACCATGTAGGAGGCACATGTGGAATAATGTGTCCCTCATGAAGATTCCCTCCTGTTCCCCAGCACTCAGAGAGATTAGCTTACGCTCTAAAGTATGAGATTTAATATTCCTTCCAACACACGTTAGCGTGAGCAATGAGAATTCTGGATGTTCTTGTTATCCATATAAACCTCCAATCCCTAAGTTCTTGGCCTCACTGACAGCCTGTGGGTGAGAGTTCCACAAGCTAATTCCACATTCAGAAAACCATTTCCTTCCATCAGATCTGAATCTTCTGTTCTGGTTCATTGAACATCCCCTTGTTCTTGTGCTGTGGGACAGGCAGAACAGAAGCTCCCGATCAGCCTTCTCTGCACTCGAGTATCAGAGGAGGAGCCGTGTTAGTCTGGATCTGTAAAAGCGGCAGAGTCCTGTGGCACCTTATAGACTAATAGACGTGTTGGAGCATAAGCATGCATCCGACGAAGTGGGGATTCACCCACGAAAGCTTATGCTCCAATACGTCTGTTAGGCCATAAAGTGCCACAGGACTCTTTGCCTCTTCTCTACACTATTCATTATACCTCTGTGGCCCTGTCCCATGCTTGGCCTCTCTGCTCAGCTCTGGAGAACAGGCATGCCATTGAAAGGTACAAGACTGCTTCTCTCCAGGCCTCTGAGTGGGAGGATTGTGTTTCAGCACTTCCTGCCTGGTCAGAACCAACAAGCAGATAGATGCTGAGATGGTTTTTAGCTCAGCCTGTGTGTAGGTACCTGTCCTGGTGGGTGAACCCCCACCCTTAGGTTTGTTATAGAATTGCCGGTAGGAATTTTCATTGCTGCAGCCCCAAGCCATGGTAGTTTGGTTCTGAGGGAGGAATGGTTGAAAAGGGAATTTGAAAAAGCTAAGAAGGTGGATAGGTTTAATTTGGGGCCTGTCCCTTGAAATCATTCCTGCTTACCCAGTGTCTTGTCCCCTCTGTAGGCTGCAGAAGGAAATCAGACTAGCTCAGAAAACCGACTACCCAGCTCAGAAGCTACCCGGCCCCCTGCCATATGAAAAGATCTCGGTAAGCCACTCTGGACCTTCTGTCAGACCCGTCGGCAGCATGGTCAATTTTTAACACTTGAGGTTGTACTTTGTGAGCAAATCCTGTATGAGTTCTAGAGAGGTTGGTGAAACACAAAGGGGGAGGGGGTGTGCTGCAGAGGTATTTTAAAAGAAGTCATCTGTAGTCATGTTAAAACCTGTCTCTCACCCTCGGCTCCGGTTTGTACTGGAGGCTCTGTGGGCCATGGAAAGCTAATCGCTCTCTGGAGATCTGTGTTCACATCTCCTGTTTTTCCTTTAAAGCCTGGGGATCAGAAGCTGGCTCAGAGCGCCCAGATGTATCACTACCAACACCAAAAACAGCAGATGCTCTCCATGGAAAAGTAAGTGACTCCTTCCAGCTCTCCGAGAAAGCAGCAACGGCCTTGCCAGCTGCCGGCTGTTAACAAGGGTCAGTCCGGAATAAGGATCACCACAGTCTAGAGCCGGGATCAGGAGCTCTCTGAAGGCGTTCCCCTTGCAGTTCAGGAAATGCCCGGGCGGGGGGAGAGGGTGCCGACAGGATGGTGCTGGGAATCCCCATTTGCTTCAACCTTCTAGCTGGAGGGTCTGCTTTGCTAAACAGTGCTGGGTTTGCGCTGTTGCAGCTGGAGAGGAAATTGACCCTGTGGATTTCACCTCCATCTCTACCTGCCTCTCTCTTTTCAGGCATAAAGAGGAGCCCAAACTGCCTGACTCAGCATCCTCCGACGAAGAGAACGAAGACGGTGATTTCACGGTGTATGAGTGCCCAGGGCTGGCTCCTGTAAGTTGGCAACGTGTGCCCTTCCTCTGCCCCTTTCCTCTCAATGCTCCCTTGCAGCCATCGCGCCTCAGAGCCTGTGAGCTACCTCGGGAGCCGCTTGAGCTGGCGCTGCCTGAATCTGCCGGGCCCTCAGGCACTGGGCAGACGGGGAGGAGGAGTGGGATCCCTGCTCTCAGGCAGTTCCAAAACCCTCTCCCTTACAAAGAACGAGTTGACTGTTCTTTGCAACGAGACCTTTTTAAAATGGCTCTTGTGCAAAATCTCCTCCTTGAGATCCCCATCCTATCCTTCTCCTCCTGACTTCCCTTCGCACAGAAGGGGATTCAACCTAAGCTGAAGGCGGCCCCCCAAAAAGCTCCCAGTGATTCTGTTCAGGATCTAGACCCTGCTGCTTAATAGAGTTGGCTGGCTGCTTCGAAACCCAAATGTGTCGTGGGGGTGTATCAGTTTAGTCGAAACCTTCAATGAGAAATTAGCAAAAAGCTTTACTAAGGTTGAAACGTTACATTCCAACTTGTATATGAATGATATAGTAACGATACATATTTGCTGACCATTTATAATCAATATAAAATGATCAAGTCAAAACTGAGGGCTTGTCTACACGGGAAATGCTGCATCGTAGACACTTGCTGCAGGGACCAGAGGGATTCTCCCATCAGGGTAGTTAATCCAGGGTAGTTAACCACCCTAAGAGGTGGTCGTTAAGTTGATGGAAGAATTCTTCTGTCGTCTACACCAGGGTTAGGTTGGCTTAACTATGTCACTCAAGAGTGTGGTGGGGAAGAATTCTTCTGCCGCCTCTCAGGGAGGTGGATTAACTACAGCAGCCAGGTCAATGGGGCCTAGCCGCGTCTTTGCTAGGGGGTGGGACAGCGTAGCTACGGCAGTGGATTTTGATTTTTCACACCCTTGAGCTCCTTAGGTCTGTTGACCTAATTTGAAGCATAGACCAAGCCTCAGCCTGTGGGCGGAGACCCAGTAACTGGTTGTGTCTGGTCACTGCTTGTTCTGAATCTCTCCCCCACTGAGTGCAGGAATGGAGTGGGGCACTTCCCATCTGTCAGCTAACTAGGCAAGGGGCCGCTGGGTGATATTGATTAGATCAGGCAAGGAAACCAGGTTTGCTCCCTCCCCAGAGATACTGACTAGTGTAACCCCCCAGATGGGGTTTTCTGGCTGATGTGCTTTAAGGGAGCCTCAGCTGCAAACCCCGAGATTCTTTTCCTGGGCTTGGTGACAGTGGCCCCCCTGGCCAGCGGCAGTGCCTACCCGCCTTGTTACAAGCTACAGTGCGAAAAGCACAGTGACTCAGAAAGGGAGCTTGAGTGCAGCCTTTCACATGGTAATCGCTGTCCCTATCAGATCATCAGGGCCTAGATTAAGGGTCATCATTACATCTTTACAGCCCATTCAAGGGCGCACACTGGCAGTCTGGAGAATAAACAGCTGGTTCCTGTCAGATTTTCAGCTCCTGGTCCCTGCAGAGCTGCAAAGGCTGGCTCATGGGCTGGTTTTGTAAAGCTGGCCTACAGCGGCGTCCCCAAAGGAGACAGTAGTGGAGCTGCATTTCCTCTCCCTCCCCCTTCCCCGCTGAGAGGCAGCGCCTTCAGATTTGTCCATCTGAGAGATTCCCAGCTGTGTGCTCTCTCTCATCCCGCTCCCCCACCCATCATCTTATACGGCAGCTCCGACCCCGGCTGGTGACTGGTTACATCTCCTGGTAACTTGGCCAAAGCCCACGTCCAAAAGTCCTGTGATCAGCACAGCCCAGGCAGGTCAGACTGTCCCCTCAGCACAGGAAGGGTGGGAAGAAGTCAAGGGCACCAGAGTCTATACCATCTACACTTCCTCCCGCCCCTCCTCACAAAGCCAGGGCGGGACCCAGCCTCAGGGAAGTTTCGTAATCTGCTCCTACAATGCCGCACTTCAGAATGGAAATGTGACATCTCTGGGAGCCACGACGTCGGCCAGCAGATAGAGCACAGGATGGGAGCCCCCGGGTCCCAATCCCAGCTACGTCACTTCCCAAACCCCAACCCCACAGCAGCGCGTCACAGAGCCCAGGGCAGCGGCCTCAGGTTATGTCTACACTACAGCGGCATAGGTACGGGGCTGCTGTCGCACCTCGGGGTAGATGCTTCCTACGTGGATGGAAGGGGGTTTCCGTTATGTCAGTAATCCATCTCTCCAAGAGGTGGCAGCTAGGTCAATGGAAGAAATCTTCCATCAACCTAATCACGTCTATACCCGGGGCTAGGCTGACCTAACTACGAAATCGAGGGCACAACGTTTTTCACAGCCCCTGAGTGTCGTAGCTGGGCGTCTGGGTGTAGACCAGGCCTCGGGCCAGTCTATGCTGCAGACTTTGCTGGCATAGTGACGTCCGTGAGGGGTGTGAGGAGCTGTGATCCCAGATCAATGCACGTCCCTCATGTAGACGTAGCAGCGATGGCAAAATTACACGTTTACTGGTGCAGCTTGTTTCGCTCCGAGGGGTGGCTCAGTTTTACTGGTACAAAGCCCAGCGTTCCCAGTCGAGCTGTGTCAATGCTGGGAAGGCTTTGGCCGTATAGGATATAGGTACAGCGATCCCGGTAAAGCACGGCTAGTGAAGAGACAGTCTAAGGCCTGGCCTCCACTGACATATAGGTTGACGTCGCTCCGGTGCTCAGGGTTGTGACATCCCGGAGCATTGCCGCGATGGTGGCCTAGCCCCTGGCGTAAATGCAGTTTGGTCAATGGAAGAATGTTTGCAGTTGGCTGCATCTACACTTCAGGGCAGGACTGTCTCTCGCTGTGTGTTGCCGGAGCGCCCGGCACGACGGGGCCCTGATCGTGGCCGGAGCCTCTCGGCACTTCTGCGACACAATTGCTAATGACAGTGGCACTGCTGTGCCGCCTGGTGGGAGGATGAGGCGGGGAGGCTATTGTGTCGTCATAAACAGTGGCTCAGAGCGAGGGGGGGCTGACCTAAGCTGCGGTGACCTCTAACCTGCTGGCTCCACCCCCCCATCTTCTTTCCCTGCCAACCGCTGCAGACTGGAGAAATGGAAGTGAAGAACCCCCTCTTTGACGACTCTACCTTACCCCCTGCGGGCCCCAAGTCACACCAGTAACCTCTCTCCCGCCCGAGCTCGCCACGGACCGGTATGCAGAATGCCAAAAACCTGACGAGGCAGAACTCCAGCAACTTGGCTCCTCCCGCGGGACTCCGGACGAGGCTGCCGCTCCGTGCGCGGATTCCCAGAATCCACCGCCAGACTGTTCGACCCCGCTCAGTACACACCTGCTGACAGCTTTGGGGGGCTCACTCCTGGTTCCAGCTTCTCCTTGTTCTTTCCGTTGTGATCTCACTTGTTCCCTGCCCTGTGTTCCCTGCATCATTTCAGCTGTGGGGAGCGCTGGTTCCTGGGGGGGGGTGAGGGGGGGCTGGTTGGCTGAGCAATAGCACAAGGGGTGGCAGAGTCTCCACTTTCGGGTTTGTTTTGTTTGTTACTTTGTGGGGTGGGGAATACCAGTGGTACAGCAGGTGCAAAGGGGGATCCTCTCGAGGGGATCAAGGAGTGAACAGCGAAGCAAGGGCCTTGCCTTCACTCCCCGGCGCTCTGGAAAACGTCCCTTGCAAACACCGGTGCTACCGCAGCAGTGGTAACCTAGCGGGAGCAGAGGTGACTGACATGGTGGCAGACGCTGGCAGCCAGCTGAAGCCCTGGGTGCACTAGTGCTCGCAGCCAAACTGGTGGGAAACTTTCCGAGAAAAGTCTTGTGTAGACCTGGCGAAAAGAGCCACAGTCCTTCCTCGTGGCTGGATCCCACTGTGCCCCTCCAGCAGAAATCCTCTCCAGCCAAGAGACTAGAGAGCCCTTGGTGCCCAGGTTACTTGTCATCATGCCAAAAGCAGGAGCAGAAGGAGCCATGAGTGGGAACTTAGTGAAATGGGAACCGGCTCTCCCTGTAGCACATTGTCCTTGATCTGTGGAGTCAGGTTAGTCCATGGATTGGCCCATCCCAGTGAGCAAACAGGGGGATACCCCACCCCAAATCACATTTGGTATCTGGCTTCCCATCTGGGTGACTCTAGACTCGGTGCCTTTGTCTCGCTGTCCCTGGGAGTTAGGGCAAACTTGCTGTATCAGACCCCATCACCGAATTCTGCTGTGATGCGGGTTTTATAATTCCATGTTTGTAGCATTTTCCAACTAGTAATTTGGCCAGGGCGCACACACCTTTCTGGCCATCTTTTCTCTTCTGTTGTATAAAACAGTTTGTCCAATAAACCAGCTATGCAGGTTTCTGATGGTGGATTTCTCAGCCTGCCAGACTCTTTGATTCGCTCATTAAAATAAGCCTCTGGCCTCTGGTTGATTTCATCAGTTGCTGTGGAACAGAAAGTGATGGAGTGTGTGCACTGCCCAATTGCTGCCAGACCCCAGTGCTGTGGGTTAGTGGCTGGAAATGCTCTCTGATGGGCCAGTGCTCTCCTCTGGCCTACCTGCCCGGGGAGCAAAAAGAAAAACAAACATCTGTGCATGGTTCCTAGGGAAAGAGTGAATTCCATAGTGACAAGCCCCAGCAGCGAGTAGCCCCGCACCGCCCTTTCCAAGGCCACCACAGGCGTGACGAGACGGCCTCGTCTCTCTAATGGGAAAAGCAGCAAACGATCACTTGTTCAGAAATGTCAGAGGTGTAACTTTTTGGCGGTTCCCAGCCCCCGGCAGTCTGCGGGAGGGATCATGCAGGGGCGGGGGGCTAGGCAGGAGGCATATTGCTTATTTCTGGAGCTTTTCCTTCCTACCGCCTGATAGAGCAGAGTGCTGAATGACAGCAGCTGGGGAGAGGAGCCGTGTCCTGGCCGCTTCACAGACGGTCGTAGCAGGAGCTAGAGATTCTTTAAACCGCTGCCCCATTTGCACACCCGTTCTCAGCCATGAAGCTGTGTCCCATGGCCGTGAGCCCTTTCCCTCAACAGCACTGGCCAGTGCAGCTGTGCAAACTTGGCCGCTCCGCGGGCTGCCAGGAGCTACACCCCGTTTGCCTAAAATGGAGCACATTTCTACTTCCCGTCAAGTCTGAACACAAAGGCCTGGCCTATGGAGCGGAATATGCTGGGATACCTCCATACTCGCCTCGGGCCCCACACTGATCCTGCGCAGGCCACAGCTTCTCTGGCGACCCTGCCCCAGGAGCTCACCTGAGTCACTGCTGCTTGTGCGTGTGACTAACAGGCCAATCACAGTGCATGGGAAGCGGGGCCCTTTAAAGCTCCGCCCATGTTTGAGGGTGCAGTAGGGGTGCAATACATCCCCACACCCTGTGGCTAACCCCTCCCCTCAAGGCTTTCTTGTTTGGCTGCAGAGGCCCCCATGCACACCCAGTGCATACAGGATCTGGCCCAAAGTTGAATCTCAGGTGTTTCACTCACGTGGCTCCACATCCAAATCCCAGGCGTGGAACGTTGAGTTCACTGTGTAGCTTCCTGCCTTCACCCCTCCCGTCGGTCCCTGAGTTCACTGTTCGGAGAGGACCTGGAACCTTTGCATGTGTCTGAGGCACACGCACCCAGCCCTGCAGGGAAGAACTCCACGCGTCGTCCACTAGTGAATCAGACTGCACCACAGTGCCCCTGGAAATACACTGTGCATGGCAGAACCCAGGTCAATTTTACAGCCCCCGGTGGCACTGTGCGTGTGAACAGCTGTGTGATGCTGGCACAGCCGTGCGTAGACAAAAGCCTCGATCACACGATTTTATGGCGACGTTGTCACTTTACAATTCCTTATCCTTTACCGTACGTAGTGTGTTAATGTCAATTCCTGACCCGAAACCGTAATTGTATGGATTGTATTATTTTAAAAAGAAAGTTTTATTAAATGACCATATTTCAAACCAGTGGACTGTGTGTGGTGTGTGGGAGGGTAGCTCTGGGGCTGCATGTTGGTTTTAGTTTAACAAAATCTATTCACCTGCTCCCTCCGCCAGTCCTCTGTTGGTTTGGGGGTACTGCTGCCAGCCTAACTCCATGTGTCTCGTGCTTTCCGAAGCATATCACGAAAGGGCCTTTCCAGAGAGTGCTTCGGTTGCAATCCAAGTGGGAGATACTGGCTCCAGGGGCAGGAAAACTGGCCAAAGTGACCGAACATGTGCATGTTGATTGTGCAGTCTTATACGCTGTTTTGGACACAGTGTAGTGGTTTTTCCTTCAAAAGTGGGCCTAAAGAATTGCCAGTTCTGTTGGCTGTAAACACACCCTCTGTCCGCCGTGGGCAGTGTGCGCCACCACGCCCCGTGACAGTCCCCATTCAACCCGCTCCCTACCTGCACCACTGGTAAGCAGGCACACGGTGCAGAGCCGTTCTTGCCATGTGTGTGGGAGGGCAGGCCAGCAAACTAGAGGGACGTTAAGGGTCCTGTGCCAGGTTCTGGAGGGGAGTGTACAGACCCTTCTGGCCCTGTGCTCTGTTCCTACTCCCTCCAGGCTGCCTCAGCTCCTGACTCCTCCATGCAACCTGAGTACCAGCAGGAGAAACTTGCGAGCGCAGGAAAGACCATCTCCATGCCATGGGTGGCGCGTGAGCCCCTCCTTCAGGGAGGCTAGCCATGCAGCCCTGCCCCTTGCACCCAAGGCCCTGCCCCTACCCTCTGTCCGCTGGAGTCCCGAGTGCCCACTCCCTCTCCACAGCCCGAGGAGTCCCAGTTGAACTGCCCTGGGCCCCTGGCCAGCACCAGCACTGGGCTGCCAGACCACCCCAGGGCCAGGCCACCCCTAGTGCCAGGTCTCCAGACAGCAGCAGAGCTGAGTTCCCACTGGCTTGGGCACTGGCATGGGGGAGAGGGCAGAGCATAGGCGGGGTCAGGGCTCGGCTTAGGAGAGGCTTCGCCTCCCCTGACCTATTATACCCGCCTCCCATGCTCAGTTTTGCATCCAGGGCCACCGTGTACCAGGAGGAGCAACTGCAATGAAGTCCCTGCAGACCTGGGCTGGAGCATGCTCAGGGCAGAGACTGACTCTCCAACCAACTTCTAACAAGTCTCTACTGATCATATGTAGCCAGCAATTTTCAGAGGCTTGTAACTCCTAAATTTGGGTGGATTTTCCTACTCCACAGCCACTGATGCTTCTCAAAGTGGTCATAAGAATTTCAACATGAGCAAAATGACATTTCCCCTAATGTTGGCTGCAGTGTTGGTATAGCCATATTGGTGGCTGGCATCACATCTTTTATTGGACCAAACTCTGTTGGTGAGAGTGAGAGACTTTCAAGCTACACAGAGTTTTTCAAATAAGAACAGCTCTGTAGCTCAAAAGCTTGTCTCTTGCACCAACAGAAGCTGAGTCCAATAAAATATATTACTCGTCCACCTTGTCACTCTCATTTTTCCCTAATCTCTATCTCTGAAACAGCTGAACAGTTTCTACTGAAACTTCCCGGAAAAGTACAGCTTGAGGCAGACAGCAGGCATGGAAAACTTCAGCCCGAATGGTTTAAATTTTGCAACGTGATAAGCAATTCAAAACAGGGTCTTATAATGGAAACTGTGGGGCAACCTTAACTTGAGGTGATACTACCAGCTTCACCTGTATTGATGGTCCATCTTCAGCCAACAAACGGCATCAAGTCTGAGATGTGATCTCTTCTCCCCCTGACTCCCAACTGTATGTGGGAAGAAGAATAAGGCCTAGGAAGGTTTTGGCAGAAATTACTCTGTTTATTCACAACGCAGCTGTTTCCTTTACAGGCTTGACTTACCCTGTTCCACTCATGTTCAGGGTAGTTTTTTTTTTCCCTGTGTGTGGAGGTAACAGGGAATCTTGCACAAACATGGAAGAGGGCATTGATTAGAACTTGAAAGTGGCTTTAATTTTCATAGGAAAGTCACACTGAAAGTCCAGACCAGGGGCCAGTGCAAGACTGGTCTCTACATACACTTCTCCAGGACTTTGGGCAATCTCGATCTACAAGCCTCCCAAGTAACACAGCATCCACCACTTCCAGTGGGACACAAATCCCATGATTTTTAGCTCACCCACGAATAACACATTGTTCTAGATCATTGGTTCTCAAACTGGGGGTTGCAACCCCTTGGGAGGTCACGACCTGGTTATGTGGGGGGTCGTGAGTCCCCACCCTGACACGAGTGCGTGGCTGTGAGCCCCAACCCTGAGCCCAGTGTGGGGCTGGAAGCCCAGATCCTGACCCCTGTGTGGGATTGAGAGCCCTGACCCCGACCCTGGCCAGAAGCGGGGCTGTAAGCCCTGAGCTGGGGCATCCAGGACACTATAAGCCCCGACCCCTGTACTGGGGTTGTCAGGCGGAGCCCAGCCATGCAGAGGGTTATCAGCCGGGAGCTCCGCCAGGCACAAAGTTGTTAACCCTCAGCCCTGCCACACACACGGTTGTCAGCCCCGAGCCCTGCCACCCACTGTGAGCCTGGCCAGGCGCTTGGTTGTGAGCCCCCATCACCACCATGTGTGGACCTTAGAGCCCCAAGCTCCTCCAGCCCAACTCCACTCCACCTCCAGCCCAGATCCACCCCCTACTCCACTCCACCTCCAAAGAAAGGGCGCCAAATAGAAGTTTTCCCAGGGCGCCATTTTTCCTATGGCTGGTCCTGGCACTTCATTCCCTGGTGAAGAACCCTCTCGGTGTGACAACGAGCAGTTACCTACTGATGGTATTCACGCACAGAAACAGTTTGTCGACATGATCAATGATGATGAAGTGAAAGCAAAATTCACACGGCTGCCTCCAAACCAGTTCTGGTGCTCAGTTGCAAGTGAATACCCGCTGGTGTCTGCCATGGCCCGGAGAGTCTTTCTGCCATTTCCCACTACCTGTGAATGTGAGAGTGGATTCTCCAGGCTTCTCATAATAAAGATGAAATCTTGAAACCAGCTTAATGTGAAGGACGACATCAGATGCGCCCTTTCTAAAACAACACCCAGAATAAAACTTCTTGTGTCAAATAAACAGCATCATCCATCGCACTGATTTTTGGCTGCTTCTGGTCATTCATTGCTGTCCAGTATTAAAATAAAATTCTACTTAAAAATAACTTCTCCGCTTATATTTAATTAGATACAAATGTGTTTTAGTTTTAATTTTAAAGCAGTGAGAAAAAGTAAATTCATTTTAAGTAATAGGGTTTAAATTTAGTATTTAACATCGTGTTAAATATAAAAAGTGTGGTTTTCATTTCTAAGGGGGGGGTCGCATTCAGAGGCTTGGTGTTTAAAAGGGGTCACCAATACAAAAAATTTGAGAACTGCTGTTCTAGAAATTCTGTTTAATCTCTTTATTCCTAGTTATATCCCGCTATGCTATCTCCTTCCTTCCTGGGTGTCTATACCCTTCCCAAGCTGGGAGATCCTCTTATGTCCCCACTTCCTTCTCTAATTAGTCATTGTTTAGCCTAAAGTATTAGTTCCTTTAATCTTTTCTCCCTAACTCAATCCCTTCAGCCCTTTGATCAGTCCCTACTAACTCACCCTGATGCAATCATGGTTTGTATTACTGTAGCATGTAGAGGGCAGCGGGTCATTGTTCTCTGTCATTCGGTTACTTACCTTACTCAACCGGGTTTGCAAAATTGGGGGGTCTTTTGACTGGGGGCTGGTCCACACGACAAAGTTAGGTTGAGGTAAGTTGCCTTGCAATGATCTATTTGTGTATGCGTCTACACTCAAATTAGTCTCCTGAGGATACGGTCGCCTTGTTAGAGTGACAGAAAACCACCTCTCCGACAGTGCTGAGCCATGGTCACCGCAGTGCGAGGTTAGACACTGCATGACCTGCAGTGACCCTAACAGTCCTCTGGCAGCTGTCCCATAATGCCTCATTCCCTGCTACAGTGACCACTCTGATTCCCATTTCATACTCCATTGCCCAGAAATCACAGAGACCAACGGCCACTTTAAAACCCTCCGTCTTTATGAAATGCTTTTTCTGATTGCCCAGCTCACCTTGTGTGCAACTACCCAACCAACCATGCTGGGTCCATGCACACAGACAGGTACTGGGCACACTCCGGGGTCGGTATTGCATCTCCTGGGGCTGGGGGGAGAAGAGGCTGTTGACGACCCATAGAAATGTGGACATCTCCAAGCAGATTGCTCGGGTGATGCAGGCAAAGGGGCATGGCAGGGAGCAACAGCAGTGCCGGTTAAAAGCAAAGGAGCTTTGGCCACAAGGCCAGGGATGGGAGGCCACCAACCGATTGGGTGCTGTGCCGGAGACCGGCAACTTCTGCAAGGCACTGCATGGTCTGTGGATACTTCGGAGGAGCCTGAGACAGAGACCCCTGCCGTGAGGAGGAGGCATGGGCAGGGGGATCCAGCCATGTCGCAAGCCAGGACCTGTCTGAGACTCTGCCAAGTGTAGCCCGTCCCACTGGATGAGCCTGATGAAAGGGAAGGGACCTCAGGTGAGCGTGTGCCTGCATTTTTCCTCACACGACAATGCTTACATTGAACGGTGGAGCCAGGCCCACCCCCAGGCTAACCAGGCAAAGGACTTTTCCCTGTTTTACTTCTCTGAGATGCAGCAGCAGTAGGGCAGAGGTAGAGCTGGCGTTTGCTTTTCAGTCCCCCGTTGGGTTAGGCGGGGAAGGCGCAGGGGGCGGGGGCGGGATCCTGCGGAGCAGTTTGTCGTGTACATACGGAAGGTCCTTTTATCCCCCTGCGAGATCTCGATGAAACGTTCAAGGAGATGCTCTGCAATCCTCTACCAAAGGTTACTAGGGAAGGCTGCCTGATTTCCTCCTGCATGGAAGGACGCTTTCCCATGCCGCTCTGCGATGCGTTTGGCTGGCACCATGGCAGTAACAGGCTAGTGGCATTTGGGCCCAGGCAGCTTCGGGATGCCAGGAGCAGCGGAGCTCTCTGTACCTTT